AATAACTCTGATATCCTACTACTGATCGTAGCCTGTCTGTCTTAAAAAGAAACAAATGACCTTGTTAGAACCTCTTATCATTAATTTGTCCTCTCACTTCGATATTCTGCCTACATGTGACATAAAACTTGCTATAAAACCAGAATACATGAGTTTATGTCTTGTACCCTGATAACTGACTGAACCACTAGTGTCAGTCTCCTATAACCTAGATCTGGTGATGGGCCACTTTATGTCAGGTCCAGACCCACAATACTGGTGATGAGCAATTTTATGTTCACATCTTGTACTAGCTGGCTGCTAATGAAGTGGACCTAGCATCTTTTAGGATTTGGACTGGTCACCTTTTTTTAAGGCTCACCATTTATCCATGAATAATTAGTCTAGTCTTTCAATTTACTATTGCTTAAGGTATTAATTTCACAATAAGAGTACTTAGAATAACAACAGATAGATAAAATTTTAATTCTCAAGTTAATAATTGAAAAAAAAATAGAATGAAATATAAGCATGGAAATATTTACATAGAGACACTTGTGAAAGAGATAGGAAAACAAAACAAAGAGTTTGCAAGAGTAAGAAAGTATCTGCTCCATCAAAAATTTCGGCTATGTTCACCTAATCTTGAATCCAGATAATGTCATGACCACAAAGTGGGAATTGGGTTAGTGAGGTATGTTGATGCAGGAATTGGTCAGAATGCCTTTTGAATCTATAGGTTATTATGCTGTGTTATCATTGTGTTTTGAATCTGTTGATTTGTCACCTCATTACATCCATACCCATTACTGTCTAACAACTAGTCCAGAATAAGCTGCTTAAAAATCCGCCCTGTTGAATGGTATTGTTTATATATCTGTCAGTTCACCATGTTTGATGTAACAGTACATGCTGTCAGATTAATGTCAGTCTGAGAGACCAATCAGTCCAGGGGACCTAAATGTGTCGACTTTGTTTATAGTTGACCTGGAAAGGCATATGCTTGTCGAGGCATATTTAGTAGAATATTAGACTTCTTCTACCATGTACTTATATCACAATGTATCTTCTGTTAAGTTTTTTTATTACTGAATCAGAATACAAGAAAGGATGTTTTAAATCCTGTCAATGTATTTTATTGTTGTAGAACTTTGTGTTGTTAGCAGATCATCCAAGAATCTTACTACTGGATTAAAATGTATTCTTTTTATTTCCTGATAGTAAAAAATGATACTTGGATTTAGAAATGATAGATGTTGTCAGTGACCTGTGTTACATTATCCCTCCTCTTGTATTCTGTGCCCCAGTTATACGGCCAGGTGTTGTAGTATTTTAATCCTTGAGAATGACCTTCGTAGACCAAAGGATTTTAGAACAAGCAGTGTTTTGTTCTGTTGTTGACCCTTAACCATGATAGATACAGGGGGATTCCCTAACCACAGGGTCTCTGTGACCTCTGTCCATGACAAAATATTTCCAGGGATTTTTTCTGTCTGAGCTAGATAATTCTTTGTGTTTGGGACTATAACCTATAATCTGTAGGTAATGTTTCTTGTACAAGATTGCGATGACAAATTGAAGACCCTTCTGTATCACAGTACACTGTAATTCTCTAAATATTTAAATCCCCTCCTGTCGTTGCTTCACTCTCATTATTACTTCACTGATATCTCAACTACAGGTTTGCTTGAGAATGTCCCTCGCCTAATAATCTGTTCTTGCTTCTGATTGCGGGCATAGATAAGTAGGGTGGATATTTGGTAAAACCAATTGTATGCATCACAGAATATTTCTACCTTCATCGTTAATACAAATGACAGCATTCACTCAACATTATCCATGACTTAATTTTCCCTGTATTCATGTTGGAGTCAGGTGAATGAGCCGCTGATTACAGGTGTTTCCTAATTATACAGGTGTTAGTAGTTTACAACTCCATACATCATGATAAGTAACTGGGTGACACGTTCAGGGTATATAGTACAAACAGCTATTGGTAAAAGTCCAATTATCTAAAGCCCTCTTGTTCCCTCTAATACATTATTCTAGGAGACATTCCATTACTCCTTTCCACTATAAGTGCACTTTGTAATAAACTTTTTTTTAAATTGCACTTTGAAGTATGCATTCCTTTGTAGGATGACATAACTTTTAACTTTGAAGACGTCTATTTGTCCGCCATTCCCTCGTGGATGGACACTGACCTACATTTGTCCTGTAATAATTTGCTTTCTAGTTAACCCACCATCCATCTCCTTGGGTAATTCTCAATAAAATAGATCACTTCCTAACCATCCTTTATGGACTTTGTCAGATATGTCCATAATCTGCCAATACTGAAATCTAAAATAAGTTATAAAAACTCATTTGGCGCTGAACATAAAAGAAAATTTTGTCAACTGGATAAATTAACAATTTATCTGTAAGTGTAAAAAGGTAATGAGCACTGACAATTCTATCATTAGTTTCAATTTCCTGCTAGTCTGTCAATGTTGATGAGCATTTCTATTTGATAGTTCCCTTTAAAAATCTTTTGATGGATGATTTTCCTGTGCCAGCTTCCTATCAAAACTATCACCACCTGTTCCTGTTTTAAAATGCCTTCTTAGATTTACAACAAGTGGAGAGAGTACTTAATTGAAATTATATATTTTATAAAATATGTTTGACAGTGAAAAAGTTTTTACAAAATCAATTTTGATAAAATGTTGAGAGGTAAAAGTCCATGGGATTTGGTGTTATGTGTTATAAATTACAGATAAAATGACCTGAAATGTCAACTGAATAGAAATTAGCCATCAATGCTTGTCTGTTGGTTCACTGATTAGAAATGTTATCAGCCAATCAACTGTCATAAATTCTTCTATCCTCCATCAGGTTTCTTGAAAAACTCCTGATTATCAGTTTGAAATTTTGTCATGTGGAAAAAACAGGTCAGAAACGTCAGAAATGTTTTAAGTTTTTAAATCCTTGGTAATTCTGCTTACTCTAATACCAGGAAACATCAGTTCTGTAAATAAGATTTGTTCCGCCGTTTGTTTTAAAGAATAGTGTAAAATGCACCAGTATAAACTTGTACTTAAGTATAGGGTGTGTGATTAAACAGATCACCTCGTTTTTACAGTAAATACCCCCTGATGGCTACCAGATAGAGCTTCGGAGATGATCCCCAATTTAATTGTATCTAATAGGTGATGAGGCTTCCTGGGAGGGGTGAATGACGTAGACTTGTGCTGGTTTTTCTGGGAGGGTCCCTGACTCCCACCAAAAATGGATAATTGTGGTTACACCACATTTCAGTTCACACTGACTCGGCAAGTTTTACTTATTAAAACTTGAGCCTGTTAGTAGGCTGGTACCATTGATCTGTTTTTCTTTAATGCCTGCTATATTTATCCGGACATTTCCAAAGATTAATAAAGCTGAAAATGACTGTGGAACTAAACATGTGGTTTAGCTTTTACCTTAGCCAGGTGAAGAATGTATTAAACTGTCAGATGGATCTACCACTTAGTAGCCCATCACAGATCTATTTAAGTAACTTCTACTTCAATACTTAATGCTAGTAAGAAACATGTATAATTTTTGTGATTTTCCTCCTATAAATACAAATTCCATGCATTTTCATATAAAATTTTCTACTTTTAATGTTTGCTGATGTGACTGGAGTATTGTATAATTGTAACTACTAAAGATTTCCTGCAACAAACCCTCTAAGCCCAAAATCAATTTGTAGGCTGTAGGTGTCCATATTGACAAGGTCCTGGTTTTTCACAAATTCCAGATTATGGACACAGAGTCCAGGTGATTAATGTTCTGTATTATAGGAATCCACATGTAGATGTTCCTAGATCATGTGTGTCCATGTTAAAAAGGTGTAAACCAACAAGAAGTAAAAGTGGCACTGTAGCAATTGTCTGAATTGTGGCTGTGTTATAGATTATGAACAGGAATGCATTACTCCTGATTCAAAGTAAGGGGATGGGCTTATTACAGGATATTGAAATAGTATTTGATGAGGATTCTGCTGAACAAAAATATATACAGATGGGCTTATTAACAGACATTGGTTTAATATTTGTCGGATGAATGTGGAATTAAGGTTCTATAACTTTCATAAGTGTGCATAAATTTATAGACGATAATTCTGACCATTTGACCACAAGCAAACAACTTATAGTCAATATCCACTTGTAAGTAAATGTTAAGGCTGACAATTATAGTCAATATCCACTTGTAAGTAAATGTTAAGGCTGACAATTATAGTCAATATCCACTTGTAAGTAAATGTTAAGGCTGACAATTCCCTACAAGTTTGTTACTTACCAGGTATATGTAGTAGTGAACACTAAAAATAGGACATTGCAGTTCAATATGGACTGTCACTGAAGCGGTTTAAATTCATTGTGTCATTTAATACATGTGTCCAAATATTTGCAATGATATGAAATGATTCAGATTAAGTCTTAAGTAAAACCTAATGTTGACACACTTTGATCTGGCATTAGGTGTTGATATATTGAGGAATGCAACTCTTTTAGAGATATTAAATATGCTGGTTGAAACCATTTTTGAATTGCAGGAATATTTGACAGCATTGGAAAAAATGAAGAAGCATCTATTAAAAACACACTAAAAATAGATAATGATGTTAAGAAAAGGGAAAGAAAATTTCCCACCTGGTGATACCTAAAGTCATATTTTGACCTACGACACATGACATTATTTTTAGACATCAAAAAGAATGCAGATCACTTTAAAAAGAAATTATCTTTAGTAAATATTGACAGACTTCAACAGAATTTTTAAACATGATATAGAACATATAACAGAAGTTGTCCTGACACCAAACTATAGGACAAATTTGTTACCTGAGGTCTTAAGACAAAAGAGCTGATAATAATAATGTTGAGGACATCTTAAGGCCCTGAGCTGTGGCAGAGACATAACCACTACAAATAAGATATCATATCATGAAAAAGGTTATCAAATTCTGATATTACTTCCCTTTTATCTTACAGATTCAGGCACAATGGCTCTATTTCCGGACATTTTCAATCTAGCCAATAGTTCGGACATCTCAGTGAATGCTACATGTGGTGAAACTGGCCCGGAAGTGTTTTGTAAGTTAGTGCAACATGTGAAGATCTTTCCGTCGTCCAATCAGCACTGTGATATCTGCGACGCCTATAGTGCCACCGCCTCACAACGACATCCCATCACCAATGCTATTAATGGCCTTAGGTCTTGGTGGCAGAGTCCATCTGTTACCAATGGGTGGGAGTACAACTATGTTACAATCACACTTGACCTCAAACAGGTATGGTTTTTTATGTATAACAGAAACAATTACCTGTAAATAGAACATGTATATTATGAGATTCAAACTGACCAGTCTTGCACGGTCTTGAATAATGGTACATAATATGCTGCACAGACTCAGACAATCCACACAAAAATATGAAAGTTCCTACATACGGATTAAAAAAACAGCTTTATTTGAAATTAATTATATTCTAGTTTCTAGAATGTGTATCCCACTTGTGGGACTCTTTGTAAATTTCACACTCGTGTGAGTCCCTACTTTCATTCTCAAGGTCCTCTCTAAATAGTCATTTACATTCGTGTAGTACATGTTTCATCAATCAATCTACAGATCCATGTGGTTTATTATTGCCATTCTAAAACTGTAATCACTTTTTAAAATTGCCCTTCAGTTTCAAAGACTTTCTAATTCATGCTGAATTATCTGGCTACCTTGAATAGAGAATTACAAATGAGGTGAAGTGAGCGTGCTTGAGTGAAAGGATTTAATTAGGAATTCATAGGGGGCACGTTATTCTCATTGTCAAAAATTCTGTTTACTCTTTGGATTTATGCTCACAATAACTCATTTAAATTGAAGAATGCAATCTCAACTTTCATTTAATTTGCCAGGTCAGGAGAAAAAAGGATTTACCAGTTTGTGTGTTTACTGATACGTGACCTTGTGTGACCTCTCTCACTGCAATGTTGTAACTATTTGTCCTTATAGGTTTGGGGTCAAGGGGTTGTTTGGGGTTGGTGACCATATCCATAATACATGTACATTTGAAAGCCAGAATTTAGAGAAAGCCTGTATTATAAGATTGATTTTAAAAATACATTTAAAAGTCAAATTCAGGTGAGTAAGACATTATATTTGAACACAAACTATTGTCACAACCTTAGCCTAGAGACAATTGTAGTGACACCTAGTGGACGATTCCTATCAGTAATGACCTCATAACTGGAGCTGATATCTGTCCATTTCAGCTATGGTCATCAGGAAAAATCAACTCTCTGAACCAAAGTAAAACTTCCTTTATTAAGGTTGAAGAAGTCTAGTTATTCATAATCTTTTCAAATCGTAGATTTAAGACAGATGTTAAAAGGACAAGCTTGGTGTTAGATACTCCTGCTGTGCCAGGCTTCTGTAGAAGGCTGATACATTATAGACAGCCATTGTGCCTTATTAAAATTACATGTAGTGTTGAAAATTTGGTCATTTGACAAAAAGCATGTACTGGAGCATAAGGAGTCCTCTAAGAAGTTGATTGGGTCTGAAGGGGAAATGGCCCATATCCATGGCTACAGTCAGCAGGGAGCATTAAAGGATTGACTGTGAGTGGTCAGTTAGAACATCAAACACTTCAGGACAACCGCCATCAATGATATAGACCATGGGAATGTGAAAAGTAAATTTTAAAAGACATCTATCACTTCAATTAAATTCTCATTTATAAATTTCATTGCTTGAGTGAAATGTATATTCTGCACTCAATGACATACCTGTGCAATTTTCATATTGAAGCACTGTGCTTTATTATTTTATGGCGATGTTTAGGCAGGTTAGAGCAAGTGATGATATTCATTAAACATTGTGTAGGATCAATTAGTTTCTTAATGACTTTATATGAGTTTTGCTGTTGTTTGTTTCAGTAAATATATAGATGTGAGAGTGCTTAAACAATTTGGTGACTGTTTGCTTTTTTTTTTTTTTTTTGAAATTAGCTGTTTATTGCAACTAAAAATTTGTTGTTTTCCAAACTGAAGAAAAATATCAGGAAGATCAGTTTTTTGTCGCAAAATATTATTTTGTTTCTTAGTGACGCAAGCAGAGGATGTGGTAAAACTCCGGCTGAAACAAGTGGAGTACTTTTAATAGGGAGAGAAACAAGTGCAACAATAATAGTGCTTAGCAGTAGAAAGGTGTGCACAGTTTCACTTAAATGACATTTAAAGTGTTGATAAAAAAATAGGACAAGCGATCACTGCGGTGTGTGTCAGATCTACATAGACACTAAAGCACATGATTATTTCATTTGAATCGAGAAAAAAAATTCAGTATTATTGAAAAAACTTGACAGGGTAGAAGGAACAGAAATATCTGGAGATCTTTAACATGAGAAAGCTTTGTCCAAGGTTAAGTTTGTGTGTAATACACTTACCGTCTCACCTCACACCTGACAGTATGACAGGGACTGGCCAATGTGTCTCTGGGGTAACACATGCACAACTAGTTACCTGTAACTATACTCTGAAAAAAACTTAATGGAAAGCCAATGTTAATGCATTGAGATTGTGCAGGTGTGAAATTTAACTTCTACCTATCACCCCTGTCCGTTCAAGTGAACTTGACATTAAAAGGTCAATACATGGAGTGCACTGCTTCACTCAAATCCTCGACACTGCTTCACTCAAACCCTTCACACTGCTTCACTCAATCCCACCACACTGCTTTCACTCAAACCCTCGACACTGCTTCACTCAAATCCTCAACACTGCTTCACTCCAAACCTCGACACTGCTTCACTCAAACCCTTAACACTGCTTTCACTCAAACCCTCGACACTGCTTCACTCAAATCCTCGACACTGCTTCACTCAAACCCTCGACACTGCTTCACGCAAATCCTCGACACTGCTTCATTCAAACCCTTGACATTGCTTCACTCAAATCCTCGACACTGCTTCACTCAAACCCTCGACACTGCTTCACTCAAACCCTCAACACTGCTTTCACTCAAACCCTCGACACTGCTTCACTCAAACCCTCGACACTGCTTTCACTCAAACCCTCGACACTGCTTCACTCAAACCCTCGACACTGCTTCACTCCAACTCTCGACACTGATTCACTCAAACCCTCGACACTGCTTCACTCAAACACTCGACACTGCTTCACTTAAACCCTGGAAACTGCTTTACTCAAACCTTTGAAACTGCTTCACTCAAACCCTTGACACTGATTCACTTAAACCCTCGACACTGCTTCACTTAAACCCTCCACACTGATTCACTTAAACCCTCCACACTGCTTCACTGAAACCCTCGACACTGCTTCACTCAAACCCTCGACACTGCTTCACTCAAACCCTTAACACTGCTTCACTTAAACCCTCCACACTGATTTACTTTTGGCCATGAGCTGAACATTCACCCCATTTGGGAAGACTTTGGGTTCTGTCCCCTGACCGAGAGATACAAGAGTTTATAAAATCGTAGTTGCTACTACTTGCTCAGCATTGTGGTATGTTATGACTGGTTTGCCCACTATCTGTATAATTTGACCAGGTGAGATGTCCTGTTGGAGACCTTTGGCAGCATAATGCATTATATAAAGATGGCATCAATTCTGCTCCATCACAAGAAGCCTTACACTAACATAATGCAGCACATGCACTCACCTGGGTTACATACTTTATGATTATAGCGGTTGATAGGACAAAGAAAATAAGAACAAACCCAAACCCTTCTTTCTTTATACCTTACTGACACACCACGCACAAAGCTCTTTTTCTTTATCTAACATAGCAAGTACTAAGAGGAAAGGTGCAGGACAATGACTCTAGCCAAGGAATGACTGGTCAGGTGGTCCGTTTGGTCAGTGAGTGACCAGTCAGTCTGATCATGAAAGGTAATTTATCCAGGTCAGAGATTCAGATGGTGATCTTGGTCAGGGAAGGATCAGGATCACCAATTCCTACAGACCATGATCATCCATTATTCCAAGCCCTGTTAGCTTGACACATTGTAAACTCTGATATAAGTTATTTTTGCCTGGTACAGCATTTGAAATTTAGGTAAGGTGTGATATTATGTATCATGGTAAATGAGCTCACTATTGGGGCTGTGTAGTACTACCGAATCTTCTTTATGTCATCTGATGATAAATGAGAAAAAATTATTGATTTCTTCAGCAATTTTGGCATTAAAAAGGAATTAAGATAACTCAAAAATTATCCATCAAGCTAACAACCATAGTGGTGTGACCAATCAAACAACTGGTTAATTCTGATCAAAGACACATGTCCCAAGTCTATCTAAAGAACTGCCCCTCTAAATATAATCTCACTGCTTACGGTATGTTTACTGAACTGTCAGAGTGAGGAAACATTTGTCACGTTACAGTTCCATTCCCAAATATCTCCTAATTTTAATTAGTGCATATATTTATACATGTGTTTCTATTAGATGTGTCAGTTGGCAAGATTTAATGTTGTTAGAGCTCTATGTCCTGCGGTCAGGGTGATCTGAGCTGTACAGTGTGTGCTGGCACTAAACACTGATACATGTGTCTAACAGCTGTCATGTGGGACAAAATTTGTATTTCCTGAAAATGGAAATAAATGGAGGCAAACTTTTGAATTTGGCAGCTCGAAAAATTCACTGATCTGCACATCTGCCGTTAATATATTGACTGTCGGTGATTCTTGGCTGTATTTGAGCAAATTTCTTCCTGATGACTATCAGGGGTAACAATATAGTTCCATTTGGTTTGTTGATTTTTATGAATTAAATCAATATATACAGATTATTTCATATAAAACAGAAAAGTTGAAATTTGGCTGTAATTTGTGAGGAACTATCAAACTCACCGAGAGAAAAGCAAAATATCTAGAAAGAGGTTTTCTCTAGAGACTGTAACAATCGGCCTGTTAGGTGTGGCCTTAAGTCTTCATCAATATAAATCAACGTTCCCTTGTGGTTGAATACTCCTTGAAATTGAAATAATTTTCAATGCCAACTCCTATCTTTAATTTCAGTAGAACTCACAATTCTTCAGCATTGTTTTGATCATTACTACATACATGTATAGCTGTCATAAAAATGAGACAATCAACCTCAACCTTACAGTAAACAGTGTAATGTTTTCTGCCTTATTTAGAAGTTCAAGAAGAGTCTTCCCATCTCCCAAAAAACTCTGAGGATTGGATGCTAACACTGAAGTATACTGAAGCACTCTAACATTCTAAGTAATTATACATTGAGTTGAGATATTACAAGCAGCTTTTTATGG